GTTTGGCCCATAACACCTCTCAGTATTTCATCTGCATCTCTTAGAAAGGACATCGGCACCACTGATTCCCTAACAAGTCTGTCCAGAGAGACCCAGTCTGTATTCAGGTTGCTTGGCTGGCTCAAGGCGGGCCTCCTAGTGCCAGGACTGTCATGGCTGTGGCACTCTGAGGTGCTGGACCCTGAGCAGCAGCCCCGGCTTCCCTTTGCACACCCAGGATGTGGGAAGGTTGACTCCAGGTGCTCGTAGAACACCCCACCTTAGTTACACAGCAAGGAAGCTGTGGAGGCGACAGCAGCATGACCGGCTCCCAAGGCCAGGCCAGCTCGGCCCTGTTGGAGGACCTCGTTTTGCTCCATCTAGTGAGAATCCATGTGCCTGGTTGAACCTGATGGCTGTCTAAGATCCAGGCAGTTTATATCATGTCCCCTCTTTCAGAAGAGGACACTGAAGCTGAGGCACTGGGCAGAACAGGGCTGAAGTGGCCTCTGCCTCATGCTTCCCATACCCACTGTGGGAGTGTCTATGCCAGGCAGGATGGGAAGGCCTGTTCCCCTCCAAGACTGTATCTCTGTGAGTTTTCACATCCCCTGTATCCCCTCTACCGGATGTCATTGCTGGTTCCTGACTGCCCAGAGCATCTGGCCCAGAGGCTTTGGCCTCTCCACAGTGTAGCCAACAGATCTGAGGATTCAATACAGTGGGACAGAGAGATGATAACAAATATTCCAGAGGATTCCAGGCTGTAAAAGTCCTGTGTGGTTTGGAATGCAGTAGAGGGTTGATCCAGTTAGGGGGTCAGGACGAAGGAGTTCATGTGCTCTGCCTTGTTTTTCTCACTCCTCCCTTCTCACAAGATGTTTGTCTTTCATTACTTTAGTAATTGAACTGAAAGCTGAGGACCGGAGCAAGTTCCTGGATGCCCTCGTATCCCTGCTGTCCTGAGGGTGAGCTGGGGGAGGGCGGGGTTTGCAGGTGGCCTGCCGGCCTGCCTCCTCCCATCCTGACCTTGACTCTGACCATTGTCCTCCCTCAACAGAGGCTTTTACTCAGGTTTCAGATCAGAGCAGAGTCTTAAGGAGATTTGGGGACAACGCATTTTTCCCAAGAATGTCTGTCCTGAGCCTGCCAGCAGGGCCACAATGGGGAGTTTTTGAGGAAGCTAATTTCATTAAGCCCCTTTGATCCCCTCAGAAAGACTTGGCATTCACCCTCCACTGACCACACTGTGGGGCTGGGCATCGTGTGTGTGATGCGTGTGACACACAGACTCCCTGGCGCTTCCTTCAGAGGCTACCTGGGAGCCTCCTGCCCCCACAGCCTTCATGTCAGGCTTCAGGCTGGAGCCGCTAAACCAACTCTCTGGGCTTTTGTCTGCCCGACCTTTGAGAAAGCAAAACAGTTGGCAGCTACCCAGCTGCAAATCACAAAATGTCAGCTCTGCCTGAGCTTTTACCAGTGTGGCTGTCCTGGGAGGCCCATTGTGAGCCAGAAAACCTCCTCAACCAGACCCTTCCCACTAACCTGCCTCTTTCTTGAGGGACCATTAAGAAATGGAGATAGGGGGCCTGCCTTGTGTCTGTGTGACTACCTCAGCCCAGGGTGCCACAGTGAGTGGGCACGCCCAGCCTTGCCTCTCCCTGAGGCCTAGGCTGGAGGCCATTGCTTTGACAGGCAGTCCTGCCAAGGCTCTGGTGCAGGGGTCCCCTTAGGCCATGGCCACCTCTCCCACTGCCCCATGCAGGATGATCTTCAAGCTACAGGGTAATAGGCACCAGAATAGCCTAGGGGGCCTCAAGGACCTCGTAGCCCATCTTTCAGGGTGACCTGGGTGCACAGAGCCATGTTAGGCAAGGGGCTCTAGGTTGGATGCTTTGAGTCTTAAGCAGTGACCTAGGGCCAGGTACCAAATAGAGTCGAGTCTGATTCTAAAAATGGGGTCAATACCATCCTCAGACAGCAGGTGTGTCACTGTGGATGTCAACACTGGGCCCCTCAGGTGGACAGAGGTGTAAGGTAATGCTAGGGATCTCAGGCAGTGAGGCTGCATTGGAGATAAACCTCTCCCCTGCAGTCTGATGCCAGTACCACTGCTTGTGTCAGTCACCCAAGCAGTGGTGGAGGCAGCCTGGTAGGAGGGGGAGGAACTGCATGCTGAGTGACAGAGGTAGAGACTGTCCAGGAAAGGAAGGGGAGCGACTCTGGCAGGACAAGCAGCTGGGCAAGTTCCTCTTGAGTGGATAGATTCTAGGAATAGCAAGAGCATTGGGGATTCTTGTGGACAGCTCGGACCCCAGCAGGGGACATAGTGAGGACAGTGGGTGCCCACCCCTCACCCCAAGGTTGAAGCTGCTTAGCAGCAGCAGAGGAAAGGTCTTGCTTCAGTTTGCTACATTTAGGGAGACATCAGATTGTTTACAACTTTTTTTCTTTTGCAGAACTTGATTTCTTCAGAAATGACCTCCTTCTCCTTATTTATATTGACTGGCTTTTATTTAGATTGTAAGTTATGGGCAAAGTTTGAAATGCAGAAACTGGCTTTTACTGGAATAAAGTGCTTGTTTTAGGTTCTGTTCCCCATGATGCCTCTGCTCTTGGGGTGAGCACTGGGTGTACTCTGAGCCTTCCCTGGGTCCCGCATGCCTCTGGCATCCTCCAGGCCAGACAGGAAGCACAGGGGTGTGGCCACTGTTCAGCCCTAAGGACAAAGTCTCCCCACCCTGCCTCCAGGCTCCCAGTGGAAGTGGACAGAGGCTAAACCCTTCAACCCTGGGTCTCCCTATAGCACCTGTGCTGACCTCTGCCTGCCTACCACTTCCTTCTGGCCTTGACTGCTTCCCCCCACACCCCCCCTGGCCCTCATCTCACCATTCAGCACCTGTCCAGGTGTCCCTGTCTCTCCACACACAGTGAGCACCGTGCTCTGCCAAAGAGAAAAACAGCAAGGAGAAGGGCTTAGGTGGGCAAGAGCCTGGCTAGCTGAGCAGGTGGAGGCACTAGACCCTGCTGTCAGCGTCACCCATATCCTGGTCATAGAAGGTCCACGTCGTTTGAACCTCAGCAACTTCCCAGGCTTCAGAGAAGTGCAGCCTTTCTAGTTGGGGGGTGGGGGAAGGTGGTCAGCAGTCCCACCCCTCCCAGATGTTTCCTGAATGCAGTGAGTGTTGGAAGGTGAGGATGGTGGTGTCCACCTGTAAAGGCTGGACTCCTGGGGGAGGCAGTGTTGGACATAGTCCTTGAAGACAGAAGTAGTCTGGGTAGGTTTTTGAGACAAAGTCTCACTATGTAGCCTAATCTGGACTTAAATTCACGATCCTTCTGCCGTGGCCTCCTGGTTGCAGGTGGTAGGTTTTGAATCCATGCAGGGAAAGCCCAGAAAGTGGCTTGGAAAAGAGTACCCAAGTGACTGGGGAGGCCCTTGGGAAAGGGGAGAGCACTGTGGGTTTGGAGCTAAATTGGAGGCCGGCTCTTCTGCCCTGGCTTCCAGTGTGCCACAGAGTTAGTGTTTGCCCCTGCAAACACTAAAACAGCGTGGATCAGGCAGGTGGTGACTGGCTCCCCGGGGCCCTCAACCTCCCCACCCTAGCCATTTGGGAAAACTCAAATGCAGCTGTCTTTCTGTGCTCTGCACTTGGGAAAAGGATCTATGTGGAATGAGACGCCCCCCAGGTGCAATCTGGGCTCAGCTTCTGGCTGAACCCTGGGCTCTGGCTCTGTCTAGCCCCAGCCAACAGGTGTACTAGTATTAAGGACCCTCGCTTCAGCCCTGCCCTGGGCCACAGCTGTAGGATCACAAGCTTCCAAGCTCAGCTGTTCTTGGTCGCTGTTGCACAGCCCAGGCAGGGCTACAAGTGCAAGCCCTGCTGAAGACCTCTCCATGTTGGGGTCCTTGGTTGCTGTAGCTCATTCCATTGTTGGAATCTTGGACTACCTGAAAGGTGAGCCTTCCTGGAAGTCCCACCTGCTGGCTCCCCTGTGACCCGCCAGAATCTATCCTAAGCCCATCTGAGCCCACCTCCTCAGGGTTCTCCCCCTTCCACGCGGTGGGGAACTTGGCCAGGCCTAGGACACTCCCTGCTACTGGATGTGGCTCAGTTCTGAGCAGAGCTCTGGAGGTCAGGGTTGGGGGCAGATGCCAAGTCTTCCTGCTGACTGGGCTTGCATACCTATTTGCAGCCCCCTCCCCCATCCACTACTCTTCTGCTCCTGGCCTTTTGGCAAAAGATAGAAATGTGCTAATTTCAAGTGTCTAGGACAGGTCTGGAAACAATGAGCTCTTCCCTACTCTGTTTCCTGTCCACCTAGAGGGAGCCCCCTCCCAACCCTGCTACCCTTCTCCCTCGCAGGATTCTCACACCAGCTGCCCCCAGTAGGTGTCAGTACAGAGGTGCTGATGGTCAGCACCAGTGTGGGCTGGCTGCCAGGCCAGCAGGGTGGGCACAAACCCTGTGGAGAACCACACCATGACTGACAGAGGAACCAGGACAAGGGGCTAGAGCAGAGCCAAGGCACTCTGGGCAACCAGCCTCTCCTCCCCATGGCAACGCTGTTGTGGACTGAACCAAGCCCTGCTGGACGGGGCACACATCCTGAATTCACCCCTGCTCCACCCCACTATTGTGGAGGGTCTGCTCTGCGACCACTTGATGGTACTCCAAGTTTAGTGGAAACATCACCTGCCTGGCCCTTTTCGGGAGAAGCCAGCAGCTTGGCTGCTCACCCCTCAGCTCTTCCCGCATGCTGATATTCTACTGGCAGCCCCAACCGGAGCCTCTGCTGGGGTCTGCCTCCACCCCTCCCACTTATCCCTCAGTCTGGGGCTTTTCTTCCCACTTTCCTGGCTTGCAGCTAGCTGTGGCTGAGCCTCTCCCACTGTTCATGGGACAAGGCCAGCCCTGAGAGCCCCACAGGAGCCTTCCGGGAAGGGTTGGCAGGTGGAAGTAGCATTGCTGGACACAGGGACGAGTGAACAGAGGACAGGACACCGTGGGAGTGCTCAAACCCTTTACTAAGCAAATTCTTAACCTCCCCACCCCCAACCTGCGAGGAGGGCAGCGCCCCAGCCCTATGTTCGGCTCTGATGGCCAAACGACTCCCCTGGGAGCTGGTGGGTGAGACAAGGAAGCCCAGACCAAGTCTTGGTTTGGGCTCTGGCCCTGCTGAGAAGGAAATGGCGGTTTATCCTCATCTCTCCAGCATCTCAAGTTGGGGCCCCTAAGCTCTCCGTCTGTCCCTCCTAGGTCATCAGGAACCACCGTGAAAGTAAGGCAGCATTCAGGATTCATCCAGGGTCAGGGTAAGAGTTGGCACGTGCGATCTGGTGCCCACGCGTGAGAGAATTCGAGAGTCCCACCCGCGTCCTGGCCAGTGCTGCGCACAGAAAAGAAAACCAATCGAGTCCTCCTAAGTATGGCTGGCGGTGGTCAGAGAAGCCGGGCTGCCGGCGCGGGCAGGTCTGGTCAGTTCTCTTAGCCCAGTGTTCCTCGGAGTCTGCGCTGCGTGACACAGCGGTGGCCGCCATCCACGAGCGGCTTCTCAGGCCGATTCTCCGGCTCCCGGGCTTGGCTGCCGGGAGCGACCCCGCTGTGCCCCGCGCCCTTTAGACATAGTTCTTCTTATCGTAGTCGCCACTAGTCGTGGGCCGCCGCGGTGCCGAGTACTTGACGGGGAAACTGAGGTCCGGGCGACCCGCACAGACCCAGGCGCCGCAGCACACGAGGCCGCCGCCGCACATGAGCAGCGCGGAGGCCGCCCAGCCGATGTACAGCGCTGCGCCTAGCTCGTACTTCTGAGACACTGGCACCGCGGGGTCGTAGAACTCGCGGACGACGATGTTGGCGAACCAGCAGAGCGGCACGAGTGCCAGCAGCCCGCAGAGCGCATAAAGCGCGCCGCCAGTGAGGGCCACGCGCGCCTTAGCCGGGCCCGGGGCCACGCAGGTTGTGCACTGCGCGCCGGTCAGGGTCACAAAGAGCGCAACCAGCGCCAAGAGCACGGCGCCCACGGTGAGCGCCCGCGCCGCCTGCACCTCGGCGCTCAGCGCCAGCACTGACTCATACACCTTGCATTGCATGTGCCCGGTGCTCTGTACCACGCACGACATCCACAGCCCCTTCCAGGTGGTCTGCGCTGTCACGATGTTGTGGTCCAGAAAGGCGGTCACCTGCCACATGGGCAGCCCGCACGCCAGGATCAGGCCCACCCAACCCACCAGGCACAGCACCAGACCCAGGATTTCCAACGCTGCTGACCCCATAGCTGAACGCGGAGATGCGCGCCCGATGGCCCCTTGGGCCTCCCGGCGCGCGCGGCGGTGCTTTAGCTGGGCGACTCAGCTGCTCCTGGTGCCTTTGCGTCCGCTCGTCCCACTCACCACCAGCAGTCCACTCAGCCCCCCGAGGGACAGCTGCCCTACCTCCGATCTACCCGCGCTTCTTGGGGGCTTCATATTTGAAGTCTCGGGGGGCGGACTCTACCCCTCGAACCCAGCCCCCCCGGGCTAGAGCAGCCAATCCACGCGCCAAAGGCCCTCAGCCCCACCCACCCTATCCCATTCCCTGGCAGCTGAGTTAGGGAAACAACAGCGCTTTGAGGTAGAGGAGGGCGCGGGGATCTATTGCAGCCAGGCGCACTCACCGAGTCCCCATCAGCCGGTTGTTGTAATCGCGGCTGAGCGCATTCTGGGCCGACATGGGGCGGGTGCGCGCACTCTCCAGGCCTCCTCCTCTTTATGAGTTATGACCCCCCTCCCGCCCCCCAGCCTCCCTACATTAGGATCCTGGACCAAGCACCCCCCACCCCCCCGCAACATTCCCGCGTAAAGAGGCCTGGAGTGGGGGATGGGGTGTCTCGCAGCCCTTTTGCTCAGGTGAGACAAACACCTAAGGCCTCCCTTCAGAAATCCTCCTACCCTGGAGTCCAAGCCCAGGCTCATCCTCTCCTCAGTGCCCCTCGAGTCCTGAGAAGGACCAAGCAGAGATGCCTTGTGGGGGTCAGGCCAGGATCCCAACCTCAGCCATGGTCCTGTCCAACACCAGCACTACATGACGCACCGCCTCCCCGGAGCCTCGGGCCCTGGCACAACGTGGGCAGCACAAGAGCTTTCCTAGGTGACCGCACAACAGCCCTGTTGCTGTTTGGTTGTTTCTTTTGGGGGCGGTGCTTCCCAGACCCCTCAGTCTGGTCTGCTCCTCTTCCCGTGGTGATGCTGTCCATCCCCCATACTCAGAGGCCCAGTGGTGTCAGGAGAAAGGGCTTCTGGAAGGCCCCAGTGTTCGCCAGTGACCCAACTCAGGCTGTGCTCCACTGTCACCTGCTAGTGATGGTTCCAGACTGCGCAGCCTACTCTGGTCTTTAGACAAGAGAGACACAAAGGGACTGTACCCTGCCCTCCCATCAGTGGCAGTGGTGCCCTGCCACCCCAGCCCCCAGGCTGCCCTCCGGAAGCCAACTTGGAGTTTCCTGGCCAGGAGGAAGAGCCCCCATCCTCACTGGAGGAGGGAGGCACGGGATTTCCGGACATTCTTCTGCACAATGGCCCAGCCATTTCTTGAAAGGTCCACAGGGGTGGACGCTCTGGGCCCCCTGAGGCTCTGGTGGGGGGCACCAAGCCCCTCAGCCCACAACCCCATAAGGGCACCAGTCCCTTCCTCCCCATTCGCCTACAACCCCTTTGTTTCCAGCTAAATCTGAATTCCCAGCCCTGGAATAAAGCCACCAGGTTGGTTTTTTTTCCCCCCCACTCTGGTCCAGAGTGCTGGGGCCTCCAGAAAGTGTGGTGTTGTTCAGGCCAGTCACAGACATGGGAGATTTGGTGAACCTCTCCTTTCAAGGCTTCTCCCTCTTGACATGGCTTTGACGGAGATAAAGGCAGTAAGGCTGGTGGCTGTTCATCTCACACAAGAAGGTGCAAGGGGCAAGTTTGCTTGGATTCTCCATAGGCCTTTCCCCATTCCATCACCATCCATTCCAGGGGCCAGCCCTCTCAATCCAGCACCCCCACAAACAGCCCCATCCAAGGACCTTCCCCAACTCCCCCACCCCATATCACCATTTTCCTGGGATGACTGCTGCAGCCTCCTCAGCAGAACTGGCCAGTCCCGCTGCTAGGCTTGGCATGGCCACGGGCATACACTCTGACCACACTCACTTTCCTCTAGGCTTTGAACTGGTCCATTTTCCACCTACAGCCTCCTCTCTGTGCTTAGGTTCTGGTTGCTTGCTAAGTTGCATTGCTGGATACATCCCATGACACCTCTCTGTACCTATTGCCCAGCATAGTTCCCACAGGTCAAAACTAGGGTGATCTTTGCTTATTGTTTTCCCCACTGGTATCCAGGGAGGAGCCTCAATGCAGTGATTGTCATTATCTGCCCCACATGTTAGGTTGCTTGCTGCCCCTCCAGACAGCTTGGGCTGCAACCAACACAAAGCTGTCCCCATTTACCTGCCCACCTGACCTCCATCCCTTCACCACTTTGGGTCCATCCCAAGCCTGACATCCCAGGGTGGACTGGTGAGCTTATGTCTCTTTAACGATAACCTCAGAGTATCCCGGGGACCTTGTGGTAGAATCTTAGACTTCATGTGGTTCAGCCAGCAGTGTAACCAGAGCCCGAAGAGAGCAGCCAGGGCTGATCCAGGCCACTTAGAACCCACCCCAGATTGAGGGTGGCTCCAAGTGGCCCAGCCCAGATCCAAGAGGGGCACCTTGTCTTTCTTGACCATCTAACCATCTACTGTGCACTAGGAGTGGCTTCCACCGGAACACACAGCACAGGAAGCTTAAAGGGTTCATGATAAGCCATCAGCCACGCTGAAGACAGTGACACTCTCTGAAGAGGTGACATTCAGCAGGATGCAGGAAAGAAGGATCAGCAGAGCAGAAGGAAATGCTGGTGGAAGATCCTGCAGATGGGAGGCTGGGCACTATTAGGGAGGCAGAGGTAGGAGGATTGTGGTCAGAGGCTGGCTCTTGGCAAAAGTGTAAGACTCTAACTAAGGAATAAATGAAAAACCAAAGAACTGGAAGCATGGTTTCACAGCTGAAGGCCTTGAGTTCAATCCCCAGTACTGCAAAGTAAATAATAAATAAAATTTAAAATATATATGCAGATATGTGTATGTTATTATTTATTTAGATTTTTTTGGTGAGACTGGGGTTGAAGCAGGAGCTCTATCACTCAAGCCACACCTCCAAGTCTATTTTGCTCTGGTTATTTCAGAGATTGGGGGGCTCACAAACTAACTATCTGAACAAACGTGATTCAAGCTGGCCTCGAACCACAATCCTCACACTGTCAGCCTTCCAAGCAGCAGCAGGTGTGGGACACCGGTATCCAATTTTATAAAAAAAAGAAAAAAGCCTTTTTTTTTTTTTTGCCGTACTGGGGTTTGAACTCAGGGCCTCACACTTGTTTGGCAGGCACTCTACCTCTTGAGCCACTCCGCCAGCCCTAAAAATTTTACTTATAAAAAAAGATCCTGGTCCAGCACCAGTGGTTCACGCTTGTAATCCTAGCTACTCAGGAGGCAGAGATCAGCTTGGACAAATAGTTCCGTGAGATGCGAGACCCTACGTCAAAAAACCCTTCACAAAAATAGGGTTGGTGGAGTGGCTCAAGGTGAAGGCCCTGAGTTCAAGCCCCAGTACTGGCAAAAAAAAAAAGAGATCCTAGAATTGAAGAGTGCATTTTGTGCTAGGAATGTAGATGTAGCTCGGTAATAATAAATTAATTAATTCCTAGATGTGGAACAAGGCTCATCCCCAGTCGGCCAGGATGTGAGAGTAGCCTGGGCTGCATAGGTACACAAATCCCTGATCTCTGGTAAGGGGCGTGCCAGGCAGGCCTGGCCAAGGCCACCTGCTCATTCACAGCTATTGTTCTGCTTTCCCAGGGGAAGTGCCACAGGATCTCATGAATTGTGTGAGAGAAAGGCCTGAGTTTGCAGAAAAGCAAAGTTTATCTTGAGCAGCTGCTGGCTGACCCTGCCCCAGGTGGGGGATCCGTTGACCTTGGAAGGGCAATCTAAATCTGACCTCCAGGTTCCTGGGGCTTGGAGTTTGGGAAGCTCCTAGTACAGAGATTTGTTTCAGGGGAAGTGAAAAAACAACATTCCTTCTATCTTTTGGCTTTGAAGCAGTTGAGGCTGTTTCCCTCTAAGTAAGCAGATGTTTACTGAACAGAGCCCTTGCTGGCCAGAGCCCATTCTTGGGAGCTGAGAGCCTATGCTACTGGAGGATCAAGGGCAGCAGCCTATGTTGCTGCCTATGGGGTCAGGAGGCCAGTGTGGAAGGGCCACAAGCACTTGCAGAGCTGTGAGGAGCACTGAGGCGTGCCCAGCCTTGGTATAGTGCTTGCCTAGCAACTTCAAGGCCCAGAGTTCAAATCCCCCCACCACCAAAAAAAAAAAAGTGTCCTCCTCCACTCAGCAGAATGGTTTCAGAGGAGGCCTGCTAAAATATAAGCCTTTGCAGGGCACCAGTGGCTCCCAAGTGTAATCCTAGCAACTCAGAAGGCAGCGATCAGGAGGATCGCAGTTCGAACCAGCCAGGGCAAACAGTTTGAGAGACCCTATCTCGAAAAAAACCTTCACAGAAAGGGTTTTATGGGTCCTGGGGCCTCCTGTCCAGGCTCCATTTCTTAACATCAATGTTGAGGTAGCCATAATTGTAGAGAAGTAAAAGGTCATCTTCTTCCTAGCCCATTACCCTGTCTTACCATTCTCTCCTGGTCCCCAGTCCAATAACAAGATTATCACTCGGGGCATATCTGGTAAACCCCTAGAACACTATTTTACTCAGCCTCTGGCCTGCTCTTGGGGAGACCTCCACTTCTGTCATTCTTTTCTCATAGTCCCTGAGCCTCCAGTGCCCCTTCTGGGACAGGATTTGTTATCTCAACTAACAGCTCAAATTCCGCCCCCCCCCACCAGGGGACTATCCCTGATGCCCCCTTCTTTGGGAACAAGTAGATCCCACAGTGTAGACTGTTAGAATGACTGTAGGGCGAGCAAAAACAGCCCTCCTGATTCAAATACCAATATAAAACTAACCCATCCTGCTCCCCAATGCCTCCAAAATTTATAAGGGTCAATTCCACTGGGGGAAGTCTCCAAGAGCCTTTGAGTCAATATCACACAGTCAAGGAACAACACTCAATGCTTGTTTTCTCCTGGAACTTACTTTGTTTGTGGAACTGCCACCTACACTTGCCTACCTCCCGGCTGGAAGGGAATCTGTACTAAGGCTCTCATAACCCCACAAACTGGTGTTGTCCCTGGTAACCAGTTTCTTCTTATTCCTCTAGCAGCCTACACTTAATCAAAGAGAACTATCCAAGTCATTCCCCTACTGATAGCCATGAGGATCACTGCTGGAATAGGTACCGGTATCGGAGGCATCTC